CACTCTATGAAATGCACACTTAGTTAACCCGCATAGAACATATGTTGAATTCACGACCCCTGGCTGCCATCTCTGAGAACTTTCATAATGATTCCAAATCATTTAATTTATGGATACTCGTTTAATTCGCTAGCATTTGATCAAGAATCAAAACAGGAGTTGGGGATTCCCCGGGGTTATCCCAGAGTAAAAATACACTGAAAATTCTGGACCAAAAGTTATCTTACCTCACCACAAGCTTGCACAAAATGGAAATCCGTATGAGCTTGCAGTAATGGAAATCAGATCTGAAAGTGGGTCATTCCGTCGTGTTAATAACGGATTCTCTTACACGCTTGTGGAGGGTCGATCTAATCACTCAAGATACTTCCCGACTCTTCAGGCAATGTTCGAACAGTACAATTTAAAACATCTTCAGGGACGACCACGTGACCAATGTAAATTACGTATTTTACTGAAGAAACTTTCACATTGATGTAATTTTCTCTCAGGGTGGATAAATCGTCAACGCAACGGGAATCAGAGTTCCCGGGGACTACCCGAGCCACTCGCAATTCTCCAGCAATTTCTTGTTTGGAAGCCTTTTCGATAACAAGAAAACACAAGATACTAATGTGCAATACTAATGTATACCTTGTCAATACGCCAATTTGAGTCATGAATAAATAAAAGACGTTTTTTTATATCTTCACGTAATTACATCAACAATACATCAGAATTCTCACTTTGACTGTCAGCAGCCACCAACACGAGCCCATATGACTCTTCTTTCTTGAAGTTAATATTATAATCCCACTCATTTGAATGAAAATTAAGTTTGTCGCACTCGGTTGGTGAGGTTCTTAAATACCTTGCCACGAAGCGTCAGAATTGGGCAAGCTTAGAAAATAACTTGATCTAGCCCCCCCCCCCTGTGGAGCCGGAGGTGATGGTAAAACATTTTTTGATCTACACATACATAAAGATCAATAGAGGCCGAAATTACCACTGTTTTGTTCTATAAATTGTTTGAAAGGCAAAGGACAAAAGATACCAAAATTTCCATTGTTTCGTTCTATCTGATTTCACAGCATATCATTATTCATAAAAAACGGGTACATATGCCGAACAAAATAGATTTTTTGAAGGAAAATTTTCGTGGCGTCGAACCCAGCTATTAAAAATATGAGTATCTCATCATTCGTACACGCCACAAAAAGCATAAAGCTATGTAATTCGCCAAGACCTGGCAGAAGAATGGGGCTGCAGAAAGCTTCTTTGCAGCTACATCGCTCGATCACGATGAAGAAAATGTTTTCTAGTTTGCTCAGGTGCTAGCAGAACAATTATTATTTTGATTAATTATTAAGATTAACAATTAAGATTTTACAGATGTCCTGCCCGACTTCAGCTGAAGAAACTATTTTCGCAAGATAATTTGTATTTACAGTTTATATTTATGCTGTTTGTTACACCAAATTGAATCTCAAGTCCCTGTTTTTTTTGTTGTTGTTTTTTTACTTTTTCGTATACGTACTTATATAAACGGAGTATAGAGAAAGTTATGTTAGGCTGCGCGAAAAACGGCGGAGTTTAGGCAGAAAAAAATTATTTGCCGTGCCTTGACGAAAAAGTAGATAAATTCATTTGCTAAATGAAGAAGAAAAAATCCTCTAACACGTGTGTAGCCAGAATCCCTGTTTTGTGGGTCCTTGACATCGAAAAATCAATTTACAACAAAACGTCCATCTGTTCATCCGTCCGTGAACATAGCGCCTAAACCATACGTACGATTTTCTCCAAAATAGATATACCCCGGTCGATCTGGCTCCACTCAAGGCGCGGCGATTTTGAAAAACTTTCTTTAAAACTTGGGGGTACTAGTTTCATAACGGCCCCGGGCATTTTGAAAATTTTCTCACAAACGGCTCCAAATTTTTTCTTTAAATTTCTTGTAAGAATAGAGTAAAATACACTTACAAAGGTATCATAAGTCCCATTTTCACTATTAACTTTAAATTTTTGAAAATTGCAAAAGTTTGGATTTTTTCCGCGTCCTCCTGTAACTACAAAATAGAAGATTGACTTTTTCTTTCAAGTAAAATTTGTTCTCTTTATTTGATTCTTTCAATAAGGTCATGAAAATGTTTTTAAAATTTTTAGTAGTTTTCTGCAATATGTGCAATAAAATATAACAAAATTTTTTTCGAAAACGACTTCAATATTTTTTCTTTAAAATTTTGGACGGAATAGTGTTAAAGGTACGCTTCGAGACGATATAAACGATATTTTGCTCTATTCTTTTATTTTTCAAAAGTTACAAAAATGTCATTATTTGATTAGCCTCTTACGTCGGTAATTTCTTTAGACTATTTCATTTGTGAGTACATGTTCTTTAAATGATGTCTAATAAAGTTCCTCGAATACTAAACACTTTTCTGTGCCAAATTTTCGCATCTTCAGAAACCTTCAAACGTCGTTTTCTAAAAAAACGACTCCATATTTTTTCTTCTAACTTTTCGTACGGAAGGTGCTAATTACACTGTTTAAGATGGCAGAAAATTAATTTTCCTGTATTTTTTTTTACAAAATACAGAAATGTTTTTTTTATCTCTCACACCGTTAATATACACATTTCCAGCGTTTTGTATACATTATTGCACTTGTAACTGAGAGTGCTTCAAATCACTTCAAATGAAGTTAATCGAAAACAAACTATATCTGAGAAAAAGAGCTTCAAATCTCGCATTTACATTCAAGCTCCCACGTCATTTTCTTAGAAACGGCTCCAAATTATTCAATGAAAATGCCATTTAGCAGGTTTTATTCCTCTTTAATATTCTTAGAGTAATATTTCAGTTCCACTATTCGGAAACTGAAAAATTGAGAAAATTAAAAAAATGTACTTTGGGCGACGATAGCCGGCAAATGTATGTGGAAAATCAGAAGAGTTAGTCCAGTCAAAAGATAATACAAAACTAATACGAATCTGTAGTAAGTCTGTTGCCATTCTGTAACACCACTAGCTGATTTGCTCCCTCGTATTGCACACACCCCGCTCTGAAATTTTTAGTTTACAAGTCATGCGTTCGTGCAGTAATACAAACTATTCTAATTATGTCATAATTCATTGTTTGCTAAGTTATCATTATTCGTTTTCGATTTTTCTCCGTTGTATTATTGAAACGCTTCGCTCGCATACAAGTAAAATTCGCTTAGAGTGTGAGCTTACAAATCGTGCGTTTGCGCATTGCTGGAAGCTGTCTTCTAATTCCATTGCCCATTATTGTCGGTTTTACTTACGTTCAAACGTATCCATGGAAACATGATTTGCTCTATATCGATTACCTTTTCACATATCGCCATTTGAATGTAAGTTCATAAGCATTTGGTTTACAGAAGATGGCATTCTCGACTTGCCAAGGCGAAGGTGGTGGCACTCGCCAGCCCATCCTGCAGCGCTCCGGACGCTCCAATTTGGGCCCGGTTCGAACCTCGACTGGGGCGGGGGAACACAAAGAAATAATTCAAATTTGGCTCCTAACCTCAAAGAGGAACAATTATACCCCCTAAGGTTGCCAGGTCTGTTTCAAAAAAATATCGGACACGCGGGTTGAGAGGGTTAAGTAGTATTTAAATTAATTACTAATACAATATATAGTAGTATTTAAATTTCCAATACAATATATATTTGCTTACAAATATTTTAACAAGTATTAAAATAATAACTTCAAAATTTTACTTAAAATTCAAAACATCAAATATATGATAATAATATGTAAAATAATAAAAACATACTTATCCAACTACGAAAACAGTATAATGTAAAAAAATAGGTAAATGCAAAATAAGGAAAACATTGTGTAAATAATTTTATATACTTTTATTAAATATCTTGTATGGAATAATTGAGTGCGATTAATAATTGTTTCGAAGAATCGCGTTTAATGGATATTCTATCTTTGTCTCATTGTAACTAAAAAATAAAATTAAAAAAAAAACGCGATTCTCACATCCTTAATATCATAGAGTGAACAGCATTGCATTACGTACCATTTCATCATAAGGCTTTTGAATATTTCGTGAAAAAATACTGAACTTGATGTGAAATAGGTGGACTGTCCGCTCAAATAGTGGCCACCTGGCAACCATACCCCCGCCCCCCGAGTACAGAGCGAAGTGAGTTCATTTCAAACGTGGCGTTTTCGAGATGGCGCATCTGTTCTATTTTCCCTGAAAACCCGCGAATTTCAGTCCAAAGAAAAGCAAAAGTAATATTCTACAGAATACACGCTTCAAAACTGTGCCCAACTTGCCAACAGAGCGCAAAATGAACAGTCGACAGTATTCAAATTACAATGTTGCCAATTGTTACTTTACTGGGAAATCTAGCTAATTCTACTAAACGCCATTAGCACGCATTGTTAAAAACCAGCTGACGGACCAGCTGTGACGGAATCGCAGCGCAACGGAAGACATTCTCGCGTACCTCAAAGCTGTTTTGGCTTCAAATGATTTTTTCGAAGCTCCTTGGCGCTTGGGCTCCTCATGTGCTTTGTTTCGAAGTTCCTTGGTGATATGTTTTTGCACGCCATGGCCGAGATATAAGCGTGGTAATACATGAACGCACGATTAAGGTGTGCAGAAAGGTAATTAATTAATCAGATTATAACGTCGATGTGTGCTGACAGCCTTGATTGTCGTCAGTTCTGAAATCGCTATTGCAAGAAACGGCAAGGCGGTTTTTGGGGAAGCCGCCCACCTAACATTTCCGCTCCGCCAAAACAAAACTTTTCGAGACCCTCGACATCCACCAAAGACGAAGAGGTAGATGTGCATTAGCATATGATGAACAAGGAGGAGCATTGGTAAGCTCAAGATATTAAAGAGTATTAGGAATACCATCACATACAGTCTGGAGAAATTTGTACACAATATTATAGAATAAAGTTAAAAAATCAACGTCTATATTCTGCACACACAATATACAAATTTTGTTGCGATATGTTCACAGAAGCTTAATCAAAAATGTTATTTTGAAAATTAAAAATGTTTTGAGTTCTTTTTAAAGTTATGTGGTCCCCAGTCTTAAATAAATTATCGAAATGCCATTGATTTAAAGTAAATATTATATTTGTAGGCATTTTCTTATAACTTAAACATGAAATATATTAATAGGTAACAACCTTTCACAATATTTCCACAAGTTTTGAAAAATATGCACACTGATATAAATTTATTCTGTTTTTATTCCATCTACCTTCCTTATAAAAGTAATATTGGGTCATTAATCAAGTTGTTCAATACGAATTCTCTTCAGGATGTAATTCTACCACCTGAAAGAAAAAAGAATACATATTTTAAAAAATATCAACATTTGTATTTACACTAATATTGCATTCACTGAGAGATCAAAGAGAGACTAGGACTGGAATCTCATAATTTAGAACTAGTCTATAAAAACGTCCACCATAAATATTCTCTAAGCCGTTCACGATGTTCAAACTGAATTTTCACCAAACAATTCAGGATACAGGGGCTCATTACTTGTTAGTATTTTGAAAGTACATTTATTTTAAAGATATTGGGCTAACTTCCTTTTTTTCATTTTTCACCCTACTGCGTAAGTAGTGTATTGACAATATTGTAACCCTGCGGCCGAAAGCGGCGATTTTTCGACAGAAGAATTCCTATTGTTGAGCCCTGGTAAAGAAAAGGTGGAATAATTTGATTCCTATATGTATTAAATAACTTCCTCTGACACGTGTAAACAAAATCCATATTTTGTTAGTCCTTAATACAAAAAAATCGATTTAGGGCAAAACGTCAGGGTGCCCATCAGTCAGCGGTGAACGGCAACCCCTAAACCTTTCAATGTTCTTCAAAACAGGTATTTCTCGATCGATCAGCATGATCTCCAGGCCCTGCGCGTTTGAAACGGATATTTTGATTTTGGGGGTACTTTATATGAAGATTTTTTCAAAATTTTTCATTTTTATAGAATTTTTGTCTTTGGGTAACGTAAAGAACGCTTAAACAGCATGGCATAGGTCTCTTTTTCGTACAACCACTGATTATTCAAAAATTGCAAGAATTAAAATTTTACAATTAAAAAAAACTTTGTGCACTGAATTAGCAATTAAATGTAAATGGTGGAATAGTTTTCGGTTGTAGTGGTTTCAGGAGTCTTTAAAATACTTCACCATTAATTACTCAGAAGTTTTAATTGAAATAATACTTAGTTCATTAGCAATTAAATCGTTCTACAAGCTGGCATATATGTTTTTGTGGTAACCGATAGTGGTGGTGTCAGCATAATCGTAATTAAGCTCTTCCTTAATTACGCAAACAATTGAAGGGCTCAACAGAACAAGGAGATATCCCACACTTATTCGTAAAATTGAGTTATTAGCATTAAAACTAACAAAATATTATTTTAGTGTAAAATGTAATTAAAATCCTTTATGGACTTATATTCAAGTGTACTGTGTTTAAAATAAATTGCTGTATATCAGCTTCGCAGAAACCACACACGTTTTAACTGTTTTTGACGTTAAATACATAAATAAATTCCGAAAGGTCTATGAATCTATGCTTCTGACTCATTGGTTAATATCACTCTTTACCAGTAAACAGAAATAAAGTTTTCTTACGATCACGGCAAATGGCCGCCTCTAATTTTGTTACAGTGGCTAAAGAGGTCAGGGAAGACGAGAACGCTAACCTGTGCATAAAACGTCAAATAAGCGAAAAATATATCCTGAAAACTAGAAAGACAATATTAGAAAGAAGCGAGGAACAATATATTTCTAAAAAACGAGTTTGTGCCGGCCAAAATGCGCGTTGACATTAACCTTGGCAAAAAATAATGGTGTACATTCCAGTCTTTTGCGAATGATGAAAAAGAAGCTACATTTTGTTATTTCTATGAATTGGATAATTATAATTATGTTTTAATTATATTATAAAAATGCATATTTATTTTGACTAATTTAGTACTTTTCTGGCAAGATGGGTATTTAAAGAACAGAACAATTGTCGTAAACTAAAAATTATAATAACATTTTCTTGTTATTTGCAAATAGTTCCCTTGGTATGCATAAAAAAGTACTCCAGGAAGATATTACTGGTCCACGGTTTCCGAGTTATTTTATGGAAGTTTTAGTAAAACCCTATCACAGAACTAGGTCAATGTGAGATAGACCCTTGTTCTACTTATTTCAATTCTGAGCAATTAATTAATATTTGTGTAATTATTTAGCAATAAAACCTATCCCAGTGATGTCATATTTGTTTTTGTGCTAACCGACTGTGGAGGTGCCATCTTACTCTAAAGTCAGCCCCCCATTAACTAGGCAAAAACTTGGAAGAGAAATTACAATAATATTTGCGTAATTTATAAGCAAATCGTTCTATTTGTGCCATATTTGTTTTTGTTGTAACCGACAGTATTCATTTTACGTTCACTACTAATAAATAAGAACAATTCAATTATTTTTGCATATTTAATTAGAAATTAAATGGTCTTAAAAAGTGACATATTTACATTTATGATTACCAATTATGTTTGCCAGCTAAAGAGAGGTAAAATAATCAATCGAAACATCAAAAAAATCACCGGTATAATAAAATGTGGTTACCAGAATGATAAAATGTTATCAGAATCGTTCATCAAGAAAATTAGACCATCCTAGATTTTACTTTCTCGCACTTCGTAAGAAGAGAAAGTATTGAAATCGTGCGTCGAAACACGGCGAATTTTCGACAGAAAAAAACATCGTCTGGCACAGGTAACCAAAAAGTGGATCGATCTATGTAGTAGTAAATTACTTCCTCTAATGCGGTACAGCCAGAATCCATGTTTTGTGGGTCCTTGACACAGAAAAATCGATTGACGTCAAAACGTTTGTCTTTTTTGTTGTAAAGAACTGTTATAAGGTACCATGATTTGAAGATTATTTCATTATAGTATTGTAGCGTCGTGCCACGCTCGAAACAGACAACCACGTGGAAATCGGCGAAGCATCGCCGGATGTTAAACAAAGGGCGGAGTGATGACGCACTGGGACTATCCGTGGACGTTGCGGGCCCAGAGCGGCTTTGGGGAGGAGGCAATGGGGGCGGCGGGTAGAGCCAAAAGAGCCTATATAAGGCCAGGAGAACAATGCCCCAGTCTTCTTGTTCTAGCGGGATTCGGCGACAGGTGTCTGTGCGTGTAGGTGCACTAGGGCGAGGGGCCGGCAATTCATTGTCGAGACTTGCGAGACGCGTAGATGGTCTCAAATTAGAGCGGCTTCATACAGGGAACATCGGTGGCATGTTGCGGTGTGGTAGCCGTTCTTAAATTATCTCTCCTTGTAGTGGGTCTATTTATTTAGTTTATTGTGAGAAGGGTAGTTGTTAAATTGAGACTACGGTCTAGATTGTTAATAAATCTACTGTTTTACAAACCACTCTCGTTTGTGTTCGATTAGACCCGTATGACGCCATCTATACTACATAGATGTACTATATCATGTCATGTTTCGTGTCATGTAACGTTATGTTATTGCATGATTCGTGAATACTGTTTTTGTTTAAATGTATATTTTATTCCAGGGTTTTACGAATTTTATTTGTTAGTGTTGAGCAGCGCTTCGGAGCTACGGAAAACAATTGTGTGTGGTTTTGTGGGTCCACTAATATATTACTAATTACCAAAGCGCGCAGACGTTTAGAGAACACTGTACATCCTCCGTCCATTTGAGATGTGTCTATGATTTCCTTAGATACCCAATGACTGGAGAAAAATACAAACATTACTATATTACCGTTGTCAACACATCCGTCATTTGAAAAGGCGAGTCTCCTTTCGGGCAGCACCGTTAGGTCACTCAACAAACTGAAGGGCCCGGGTCGCCACACAATGGCCAGCAGTGTCAATATACCTCGAGTCAGTATATCACTAATGGCTCGCTTCGGCCATTAGTGAACAGTGAGTCAGTTTGCGCAGGGCAGGGAGTAGACAGTTGGATAGTGACAGAACGAAGTTCATACGGCGTAAAAATCAGTAGTTACGGTTATTTCTTGGCAATATTCCCGGTTCTCTCTTGTTGATTTGGAAACAATAATATGTCAGACTCCCTATTTCTTTTATGCTTTCAAACTACGTCCTTCTGAGCCACGGACGATCGACCCAACATTACCTTGGACACTACGGACTCTGCCTCCGCGACCGAGTGCAGGGTCGTCCTCGCGACCATTTTGTGGCGCTGGGGGGCCGTCGGTATATATTCTGTTCTATTGAATAATTGTGTTTTCTTAAAACGAGCCTTGGCTCATTTATCCCAATACATAGGAATACGTATAAACGTGGAATATGGGCACAAATGTGAAATTCCGCAAGTCCTGGCTTCGCAGGAGCTGTTCCGTGGCGGAACGCACTCGAAACGGTGCACCGTCACGCATTTCGTCAATCAAACTGTCTGTTGTTTCAGAAGGCCGTGATTTACCAGCGGGAGAAATTTTACATTTTGCGAGGTGTATAAAACTTTTGTCGTTAAGCACAAACTATTGTGTAACAAACAAACAAAGATTGGGCAGTATCGATAATACTTTCTGACAGAATTTTGAATTTTCAAAATACAAAAATACTTTTTTAAATCCGCCGTTGAAAATTTGAATTTAACAATACGGTCAAACCAGGATAAAACAAACGTCGATAACACGGATTTTTGACATTTCGAAGCTATGTTTGATTCTCTGTAGCAGTATTTAGACGAACGTTTTGATAACTCAAAAGTTCGGTAAGAGAGCAAATGAGTTGTTTAGGGAAAAGTGAACGAACAAACGATACCTTGACTCACCGGGACGCAGAAACCGGAGCTCAAAAGGTCACGTGACGCAAAACTCTCAACGCTGGAATGTCAATTCACAATAATAGAATAACCAAATTGTACAATAAAGCAAATCAGTTCCGTCTAATTGGAGGTCAAGGATTTTGGCCACACGAACAGAAAAGCCATTCGGAATATGTGCATCTCTCATTATAATGATTTCAATGAAGAGCATCTCCGGGAAATAATCGGCGAAGAAAACCTCCTCGAACGTAATGATGAACTAACGGAAGCGAAACTGCGTCCTGGAGCAACTTTAATGTCAAAACTGTTAATGGCGTTCTAAAACATCAACAAGCTCTGGTGGAAAGGCCATTCAAATGTGATCCGAACATGGAAATTACTTCGAAATTTAAGAGAGAAATAGAAACAGCAATAACATAGAATTATCAATAACAGATCTTTAAATAAGGTTCAATTTTTCAAAAACATGAGTATTTTTTGCGAAATTTCGTGTCAAACATAGGCAATTTTTATTTTCTCACTTTCTTAAAAACCGCACAACGTTTTTTGATTAAATTGAGACCATAGAAAGGGCGCTTAAGAGAATGGTTCAGGTCTCAGGTTCATTAAAATGCCTGATTTTGTCCAAATAATTTTTAACAAATCGGCGCTTCCCTACAACTACAATTGTGAATATACATTTCTTTTTCTTAATAAAATGTGTTCATAAAACGCTGTTCTGTAAATATTTTCATGTTCATTTTTTTTGAAAATATTAGTATTTTTGTATAATTTCATGGCAAATGTAATAGCCGGCTCGAATTCACTGCGCATCGTTTTCGGTGTTTTTTAAGTAAAACTGCAAAAAAATTTTTTCTTAATGGAATGTGTTTATCAAAATAATCTTCAAATAAGGTGACGTTCATTTTTTCAAAATTAGTATATTTTGTATAAATAGGCAAAAAAATAAATGCCCGCTGCGAATTGACTGCTCTTCCTGAACGATTTCACAGTTGGATCCTAATTATGTACTTGTGATAGATACATCAGGGCTACATGAGATTGGCTACAGCCAGTCTCATTAAGTGACCAAGGGCCGTATTGAGAGTCGACACTTAAACGATAAGTAAACGTTTAAGTAATAAGCATTTACTTAAAATAAAGGAATCCTTATGACAGTTTCGTATTCATAGACCACTTATTTGAGATTACTGCGTAATATTTGGCAACATTGCTTTATTGGTTTCTAGATAGGAATCTAGAAGGCCGTGTAAATCTTGTTCAAATTTTGGCGTTCTTTTTGTGTATGAATAGCATCTGGTTGCATCGACAGACTTTCAACGTAAAAGAAATTATTAATTTCATTTCGTTGCTTCGATGCGTTAAGTCTTATGTAGATTGCTGCTATTGGTAGAATTTTTCCGATTTTGCGTGATTAGTAAGTATAATTATTGGCGTACGTTATTTGTATAACACATAAAAGGGAATTTTATGAATTTATTAATATTTCTTGATACCACTTCAGATATTTCTGTAATCATTCTACAAACTGAGGGATGGCTTATTTTATCGAGATCTGCACACATCTGAAAAAAACCACATGTGATGTATTAATATGATGCATTGTGATCATCATTGCAAGATTACCTATAAAACGTGGTCATCGTAGGATAATCTACAAAATACGCCCCGGTGATCTACAGTGGAAATGATGTTGCGTAAAATCTGTGTGCCATTAGCATTTTCAGGACTGTTGGTGATGGTTATCCTCCATTCCACAAGCCCACGTTGCGAATGAGCAACAGAGACACTAATGTCTACAAACGTAACTTTGTCAAAACGATATCTCTTCTTAAATTCTTGTTGCCTATGCATATCCAAACGATTTTCCATGTCTTTCAAATATCGTTTTGGTATATAATCTTCCGTAATGATTTCAATAATTTCAAAAACTCATAAAAATATTTTATGTTATTCCACGATGAAAAATACGGGCCCTCTTAAGGGTCCAGATAAGCTCACTTATAAGAATAAGTGAATGCTTAAGCGAACGTCTTCCTCAAAAATAAGAGTCAAGTGAATACGACCCTAAGTGTAGAATCAGTGAGCCTACTTTTATTTTAATTTTTAATAAAATTTATAGTTGAAAAAGCACTCTCACAAATGTATGTGATGCCAAACATTGCTGGGTAATGCATATGCTTATAGGGCAATGCCTAAGAGCAAGGGCACTGCTTCACGTTTGGGTTTATGTTTTCTAAATTATGGAGTGAAATAAAAAATAACATATCACCTGTTGAGATGTCCACTGGTTTCATTAACATTTTTAATCGTACATTTGGGATCTGGATAAAGAGAACTCCAATTCATCATAGTACAGCTATCGTCCATGTTCAAACACATGTCTTGCTTGAACACAGTCTTTGATGAAGCCAAGCAAGTTTTAATAACTTTATAAAATCTGTAAGATACAAATAATACATTAAACATTTCAAAATAAGATGAATGGTATGTTATATTTTATTACTTATTTATACATTACCTGGAAGTTAAACTATCAATCCATTCTCTTAAATCCACTCCAAATTTTCGTGAATTAATCACAGCCTTTTCATACAAGGCACTTCTATCAGTATTTTCTAGAAATTTATCCCACTCACTTATACTGTGACTAATATTTGGAACACTATGAAGATATCTGAAAGAAAAACAAAATCAAAATTGTTTCGAAGTTTCGAAGTAAAATTATATATGAATGTTGTCTGTAAAATAATAGCACGATTTGCTTTATATAAGTTATAACATCATCATACAGAAAATATAAATTTATTTATTAATCCGGCAGATAAAGATGATAAATGATAACTTAGGGATAACGAATCCTTGATTATTAAATTATTACATTCATTGACTTACAATAACACATTTTACAAAATAATAATTTCACCGGACAAGCCTTCACAGCACTCCACTCCACCTCATCTCACCTAACCTCACACCTCAACTCACTATGGAAGAACTCTTTTAAAAATTAATCATGAAGAACATCAATGGGTTGTTGGCGGGGACTTGAAAGTTATTGGAATATTGTTGGGACTTCAACTAGGATTTAGTATATTCCCCTGATTTCGATGTGAATGGGATAGAAGGGCTCGTGAATTGCACTGGATTAAAAGAAATGCTTTGAAACCCGGAGAAGAAGAAAAAATGTCTTAAGAAAAAGTTTGGTTAATCGTAAAAATATTATTTTGTCACTCCATGTCAAGTTTGAAACAGTGAAATAGTTTATCAAAGCTCTGAATGAGAATGGAGTGTGCTTTAAATATATTTGTTTAAAATATCCTTTTCCTTCAGAGGCCAGGCTTAAAAAAAACATCTTTCTTGGAGCTCAAATTAGATATCTGATGAAATAAAAACACTTTGAAACGTTAATCAGAGATGAAGAAAGACTGGCCTGATCAAGTTTCAAATCTGTATCCATGAATAATTTAGTAAATAAAAAAACATACAGATTTCAAAACTATGATGGATGACATACTAATTTCTATGAAGAATTTAGGATTTAACATGAACATCAAACTTAACTATCTCCATACATAACCACGTTGATTTCTTCCCCGATAATCTGCGGGATTTCATCGATAAAGATAGAAGTTTCATCAAGACCTGAAAGAGATGGGAAATGTTATCAGGGCAGATGGAATAAAGTTATGATGGGACCATCGCAGACTACATTATTGGTCCTTAAATTGAGAAAGTGTAGAATTGCATAGACGACAGAGGTGGCAAAATTTCAGCAAAAGAAAATGTTGGTATAGTCTTCGGCATTGCTAGGATAAATACAACATTATTGTTAATGTACGCATATTGTCAACGTGCTTAAAATGTGTTCCTTGTTAACACATTCGTCCCGGCGCGGACTATAGACTGATCATTCCCCGCCCACCTGGGCCCGCTCAGTTTGGAGGTTTCATTGGGTTTGCATTGGATTATGGGAGCCAGATTATGAATTTCGCGCGCCACACAAAATGTTATAATAATAATAATAATAATAATAATAATAATAATAATAATAATAATGACAAGAAAACTGCTAACAAAGCATCATGTCGCCCTCCCTCGAGCTGATGTACATAGACTTTATGTGTCACATGAGGAAGGAGGAAGAGGCCTCAGACAAATTGAAGCCTTCTGGCACAATGCAATAATCGAGACGGGAAAGTATGTAGTGTGTTATCAAGATGACCCTCTAATGAGGCAGGTCATGAAATCTGACCGAAGAATGGGAAACAGAGAATTTGTTAGTGTAGCAAAAAGCTTGGTGAAGAAAGCATTCAGAATAACACAGACACTGAACTTCTGATGCTACTAAACATGAAATATAAGACATAAACATTTTAAAGAAATCTTGGAGAGACAAACCACTCCACGGACAATATCTAAAAAGGATTGAGAAGGTGCGGATCAATAGAGATCAATCATTTATGTGGCTTAAAAGGGGAATAATGAAACCAGAATCGAAAGCAGTTTTAATAGCTACTCAAGATCAGGCCTTAAGAACACATTATGATAAAGCGGTTCTCAAACTTTCCCAAGATGATAAATGCCGCATCTGTTAGGAAGAAGTAGAAACCATTGATCATATCGTTTCAGCTTGTCCAATTCCATTAAAGACCGAATACTTGAAAAGACACGTCAGTGTCTGTAGTTACCTCCACTGGCAGTACCACCCTCGAAGTTTCAAACAGATGCCTCATGTAGTACGAACACTGACCAAAACCGGTGTCATCTGTTGGGCTGTGTACGAGGTGGGTTCTGTTGAACTCTATACAATATTGGCCGAGGTGGCTAAGTGGTGTTTACGACTCAGTTCTTCGGAGGGGAAGTTCGCTGGTTCGAGTCCTGGCCGGTGATTATTATTTGTCACAATTTACTGTTGCCGCAGAAAATATTTGAGGATTCCAGAAACTTTATTGAAAATCATTTGAAGCAATTCTACTCACATATACAATCTATAAAGATTCAAAGTAAACTGAAAGTGTCTGCATATGATTTTAGTATTTTGAAATTTTAAACAAGTGTACAACTCTCTTGTTCTATTTGTGAAACGTATGTCACGTCGAATCAATTATTCAATATAATATTCAAATCAGTATAATATTGGGGAACGTTTAGATACATAGAGAGAAAGAATGTGCTTTGGCAACACCACTAGTAGTATTTGAACAATTTTGCATGCAATGCTTGCAAGACATTGTCGAAGCGAGGGGTCACTCATAATACCCCGGACAGCGGATCCGGTGTTCTTATTCTGGATTCGGCCGTCGACAGTCTTGCTTCTTGTGGGTTCGGACATCAGCAGTCTTGTTAGAACGTTGCAAGTCAGGTAGTGGTGGACGAAGCCGACATTTTGTGAGGACATTTTGGAGGATAGACGAATACAAATGAATGGAAGGATTAAGCATGGAAGAAACCTACCGGCTTACCGATCTACCATCACTACCGGCCTACCATCACTTGATGGCTCTGCAATGCCTTTGACCGGGAGGTCCTAGGATTCGAGTACCGACAGTGGAAGGATTTTCGATACTAGCTACATAGGAGGAGAATTCTAGCTCCCGGCTGCTCTGATAGGTAGTGTTCAGTGGTTTCTCCGATCAACACCAGGCGAATGCCGGAGCAGTACCCTAACAAACTGGCCAAGGACCGCTCCGATCTTTCCTTCCTCTTCCTTGTCATATCCTTTCCCCTTTCTAACACACACACACACACACACATATACATACAGAATTAATCACTAAATTAAATTCATTACGTTACGCATACATACCTTTTTTAAATTGACCATATTGCAAAAATATAATTTGCATTATTTGCGACCTGAACGCCGAGAGCGAGAAATTGGACTGTAACACAACAAACAGCAACGGAAACTTGCTCAAAAGTTTCCTGCTAGCACAGAACTCGTCACACTAATCCCGCCCTCCACATCTACCCACTTCCCCACTGACCATCGCCTCCGACCCGAAATCCTCGATGTGGCACACACATTAGGGAATATTCGAGTCACTACTCCCAAACCCATTCCCTTCACCCTTTCCGGTTACATTCCATCACTTTCGCAAATGGAGGCAATCGCGCCTTCTCCGGCTCTAGGCAGTGGGTCCCACAACCCACTGACGGACGAGTTTCGCATTCAACTCGCAGCACTACACACAAGCACACACCACGCAGACAATGGATTCCCCAGAATCTATAGACGCGGGTTTACATTCACTCACAAAACATATACAAATACCCCACAGAAAGGCGTCGATGGTTTTCTGGCGCCCGCCCGACGAGGGTTCACTCTCCGATGACGAAGAGCGTCTGCGCGAAAACGCAAAGGTAGGCGACTTTGGCAGCAGTTTAGGTGCCCTGCGCTTAGACACAACTGCGGGAATGCGAAAAACGCCTGAGAACAGCGCTCGCAAACCATCACGCGGCAGAGTGTGAAAAGCTGTTGAGAGAGATCGGTTCTGATCATTCTCGAAACGGTCTTTTCAAAGTCTAAAAAACGCTCAGGCCAGTACCTAAAACCGAAACCGCCATTCGTGGACACCACAATGCGGAGGGTAAACAAACATACCTCTTCTCAGGTCAAGCCAAGGCAGGATTCTTTGCCGACTTTGTTAATAATACTACACAGGTGGTAGATGAGGAAACGGACGACAGCACCAATACACTCACACATTGTACAATCGAAGAAGTTTCGACTACAATTAAATACTTGAGTTGTTGCAAGGCGCCGGGCCCTGACCAGATAGGCCCTCCCATTGTCAAGGAGGCCCTACCGGTCGTAAACACGGAGCTTACGCGAATCTACAACAGTTGCATTACACAGCGGTACTCTCCGGAAAATTGGAAATTCGCAAGTCTCTCAATGCTTCCGAAGCCCGGTAAAGATTTCAAGATCGCTGCGAGCCACAGGCCAATCAGTCTCCTTCCTGTTATGGGAAAGGTATTCGAGGCTTCTATTCGCGCGAATTTCGCCAACTGCTCTCTCTCGCGGAACCTCATCCGTGATGAAGTTTCCCTTCATAGCGGGGCAAATTGTCCCTTAGGACGGGGATTTACTCTCTTAATATTCTTTAAGTAATATTTCCATTCTACTATTAGGAAACCGACAAATTAGGAAAATAAAAAAAAAATATATTTTTGGGCCGCGGTAGACGGCAGCTGGTAAGAGTCTGGAGCAAGTCCGAATAGCTAGTCCAGACCAGAGAAAATAGCAAACTAATACGAGAAAGTCTGCGCCATTCTATTGCACCACTAGTTTACTTTCACATACGTACGTATATACGGTGTAATATACGTAGTATAGAGAAAGTTATGTATTGCTGTGGAAATCGCGATTTGAACGGAAATACTGTTTTGGGGTCCCCTGATACCGAAAAAGTGTTACTGGCGCCTAATCCATAAGTAAGATTTTTTTCAAAATTGATATTCCCAAGTTGATCTGACTGGAGTCTAAGCTTTGAGATTTTGAAAACTTTAGGGTACTACTCAGAGATATTTTATTTTTTTTTTAAAAAAAGGCAGCAAATTTTTTCAATAAATTTCTTGCAAGAATAGAGTGAAATACACTCTAAGGATGGCATAAATCCAATTTTTATGGTTATCTGTGAATTTTCGAAAGTTGCAAAAGTTTGAATTTTTTCGGCATCTTCCTACAACGACAAAATAACAAAAACAAGATTTTCTGGAAAACGGCTCCAAATGTTTTCTTTAAACTTTTGGTGGGGATAGTGCTAAATGTATTCTATAAGATGACATTAAAGCCATATTGCTCCATTGCTTTTTTTCCCATGAATTACAAACATTTAATTTTTTTGACTAGCCTCTCACGTCCTTAATATTTACATGAGCGGCGATTTGTTCACATTATTGTATTTAAGATGTGCTTTAATTAATGTCATATAAAATATCTGGAAAACAAACGTTTTCTGTGAAAACAAGCTCAAAATTCCGGATTTTCAGAAGCACTCAAAGGACACTCTTAAAACCGGTTCTAAATTTTTTCTTCAAACTTTTCGTATGGATAGTGCTAATTGCACTGTTGAAGATGACATAAAATTCATTTTGCTGTATTCTTTTGCTTTAAAAATACCCGTGTAATTTTGTAAATATCTCTCGCGTCGATAACAAGCACATTCCCAGCGATTTGTATACATTATGGCATTCGTGATTGAAAGTGCTTCAAATGACTTTAAATGAAGTTCATCAAAATCTGAAAATATTCCTGTAAAAAAGAGCTTCAAATTTCGTATTTAGATTTGAGCTTATATGATTTAAAAAAACGTTCAAGATTTTTGCAACGAAAATTTTCATATATGACATTTTACTGTTAATTAATATTCTAAAAGTAATATTTCGAATCTATCATTAGGAAAAAATGAGAAAACTTGAAAAAACGTATTTTGGGCTGCGATAGATGGCGGCTGCCAAGAAGATAGAGCAAGACCGTAAGGCTAGCCCAGACCAAAGAAATTAGAAAACCAAGTAGTACGAGAAAGTCTGTGTCATTCTACAGCACCACTAGTTTCTTAATAAAGTTGTCTTGCGATGAATCGGTGGTAGTTTATTTACGTTGCTAAGGATATTAAAAACCCGTGCTAAAGATGTTAAATTTCTTAACGCACAGTGACCCTAACAAACCTGAACGGTGGCATGTTAACAGGAGGTTAAAGACGTATGTGAGCAATGAACATTATAATGCTTCTGATACTATAAACGCAGTCTGCGGGAGGGATCTGCAATCCCTCCCGACACAAAGATCGATCACATACATTCGCGATGTTACCAGCTGGGTGTCTGTCATCTGAAAATAATTTTTTACTTGGCATTCGGATATGTTCCACTGTTCGTTTTTAATTTATTGTTTTTGTTTTTGGAATCATCCCGTGGCGAGTACGCCGCCTGTACTACCTAATGTCAATCGTACACACGCCTTTGCCTTTCTCTCTGCAAAATTTGTGATGTCCGACACTTTTATGCACTGGCGCCATGTTGTTTATTTACAATCCATAACTAGGATAACCTGTCTCTACTGCATATATCGAAAGTTTTCGATCATAAACGACTTGTAACGAGATGTCCTTCTAAGTTGGTTATATTGGTCTTTTGGCTTATCACAACAGGAACATTCCAAAACTGCAATTTTTTATCAATTCAAAAAATACAGTTTATAGCGACTTCTTTGTCGTATTTGAGCATTACTGATTTACTTATTTATTTTCCAGTTTCCTATTATTATTAGTTCGAATTCATAAAAAAGTGTTATTTGTTGTCGTGGTAACGGGCGGGCATAAAGAATTCGGAAGACTCGCAAGGGTATTCAGTGAATCATTGTGTGTTTTGTTCCAGGTTCGGGAACTCATAGTAATGAACTACTAAACCATAAGATAAATTACTGGTTATAAATTCATGAACGTGATGGCATCAATGAGTTTACTAGCTGGTTGCAAGTTAAGCAAGGAAGATATACCATTAGTTGATTTTAATGTTTAACTTAGGTATGTTCAAATGAAAATATCTGAGTCCGATTCAGTAACATTCACATACAACAGATTTCCGTTCATTGATTGTTTTTTGCATATGTATACACAAAATTCATGGAAAAGTAAAAAAAAATTACTTACCTGGATTGGTGCTGAGAAACTTCTGATCCTGATACGAATTGCAGCGGGGTGACCAAAAAGCTGGTCTCTGCCACTGTGGATCCACCGTATATAACTTTAACTTTCCAGTCTCCTGGCATGAGTGGTTCTCGAATAAATAATTTAACCGAACCAATCTGAAAAATTAATTGCAAGCGGAGGAATAAGACAAAGTCACAAAGAGACACTCATAATGAAATTCGCGACTTAGATGTTTGGATAATATTAAATAGTGAAGTTTGAAAATGTGAGAGGCCTTCGTAGTACGTGCAATTGTCTTGTAAGAGAACCACATAAGTAATGAGCAGGGATGGTTTTCTACGGAATACCATGCTTTGAAGTGCAGCGGCTTTCGCTATAGCGCGATGTTTCCAGCGCGGCGTTGATGAATCAACAATGGACGGATATCACATAAATTGAACATTCACAGCTAAAGGACACTAATATACAGCATTATGAATGCACTTGAAATTACGATATCATTACCTTACGCATGTCAGTATATACATATTCTTCCCGAATTTAACAAAGTTGAATAAAACATTTTATTGAACATAGAGAAAATTGTAACATTAACGTTACTTAAATAAAGGCGCCTTATCTTATCTATCCCACCATCCATTTTTTTCAATTTTTCTTTCAAATTATATTTAAGAGCAAAACCCTTATTCGGCTAAAATCAATTAATGTTATTAAGTATTGACACTATATGACGCGACGGCATTATTATCTATTGACACCGCCTCAAACGAAGAGCGGGAAATTCGAATTTATCATTTGGATTTTTCCCCACTTTTTGAAATTACAGAGAGTGCGCTGGACATGAAACCACCGCTTTCTTTACCATTCTTTGCTACATACGCGCAAAAAAATTAAAGAAAAAATTTGGAGCCGTTTTCGACATAATTGTTTAAAATTTAAAAACTGCCTACATTTGAAGAGAAATTACGCCAAAAAACGTATATTTTAATTAAATTGAACGTGACCTTATTTGAAGATTTGTTTTTGATGAACACATTTCATTAAGAAAACAAATTTTATCTTCATAATTTTAGTTGTAGGAATACCCCCAAAACAAATTTGAATTCTTGCAATTTTCAAAAAATTATGGATTTCAACGAATATAAGACATTTTTTTAACGGCTTTTACGCTATCTGAGGTGAATTTCATCAAAACATTTCATGCTTGTTCTTAAAAAAAATTGTTTAGACAAAATTAAAAATTGACTATTTCACACAAAATTACGCGAAAAGAACTTACATTTTCGAAATTTTGTACATGCACGTATTTCAAAATGTCTAAAGAACAGATTTCATTCAGAGAAAAAAATCGATCTTCCATATTTTAGTTGTACGAAGACGCCAAAAAACACTGAACACAAAATGAAAAAAAAATTGGATCTTTAAAAAAAGTTAAGTAAATTCGATTTGGAAAAGCGAGTAGATTTCGCGTAATTTGTATCTGAAATGATACAACCTAATAAGGCGATGAAAAGTGCTCCCAAACCAAATCGATTATCGAGAGTAAAAAATGTGGTGTAGTAGTGGATTCCCAAAAAACGGCCATCTGTTCCAGCGGCGTCTTACGGCAATCTGTTCCAGAGATACGAGAAACGTGTTTTTCATGTTTAATATTTTCTCAAATTCTATTGCATGTATCAGGCTGAAAAAATTTCAGAGATGGAGGGAAATGGTTAAATGTTGAAGTATTTCTATCAACCAATTTTAACTGCAAATCCAAATAGAAAATAAATTTCGAAATTAATTATTTTTTTCGGTTTCAAACAATGTGGATGCTGGTTAAAACAATTAAACCCATTTTATCAGTTTAAAATTAGAAATTCGCGCCAAAATAGGATTGGAAAAAACGTTTTTTACAAATATTTAATTACATTCAATCACAGCATATGAATTGAAAATCGTACAGGTTATCTTATCGATTATGAACCAAACTCAATTGGAATATCTAGGGTGGAAAGCGATGGGCGGGGTCTTGCGTATCTGATTTCAGCCAATGAGCTTTGTTAGAGCTGACTTCAACCAATGAGCACCAGTTTGTCCCATAATATTAGTGGGAATTTTAAATGCCCAAATTTTCACAATTACAAGTTATTGAAAACTGTTAATCGGTCACAAATTTTGAATAGACTTTAAAAACGCGTAATCCCAGTTATTGAAGAAGACAGTGTCTATGATTGTGTAACTGTCATTGATTAATAAATCTAAAACTCAGTAATTTGATTTATATTATAAACATGAATAATTAATATATCTAAAACCGATTAATTTGATTTATATTGGAAAAAATACATAAATATATAAAAACAAAAAAGGGTTTGATGATTTAATTTCGACAATATAAATATTTACCAAATAAAAGCAAACATCTGTCAGAAAAAAGTCGTAAATCATGCTAGTAAGCGGTAATTTTCAATAATTTGAATGCAAATTGTTTAAACATTTAGTGAAACATTTTTTCAACCCTATTTTGGCGTGAATTTTAAATGTTTAAACTGATAAAATTGGTTCTAATTTTGTTTCATTATCATCCACGTTGCTTAAAAATCTGAAAAAATATGTTCTAGGATGTTTTGAGACACATTCTAGGGGAAAAGACGGAGACAGTACTCGAACATTATGAGGATGAAAATCAAGTTCGAAAATTTATTTATTTCTTCTGTTAGAATTTGGTGTAAAAATAAGTTGAATAAATACATTTAAGTTTAACAATTTCCCCAGTCTTTCCAATTTTTCCAGCGAGATACATGTTTTAGAAGCTGATAAAAAAACAAAACATGAAAAACAGTTTCTCGCTGTATCTCTGCAACATATTGCCCTATGAGGCTGACTTTTTTTAGAATCTACGGCATTTTTATTCTCTTTCATATGAGCATCGCGATGATCGATTTGATCCGCACATGTGAATTAAAACCAACACTCAGGTATAATTTAAACAAAAAAGTTTATTTGTAAACAATGCTAAAATAAAACACTTGATCTGTTTACAGATATATTACACAGTCCTTGTCTTCTTCACTTGATTATTTTTCTTACACATGCGTCCGTTCTCTTGATTATTTAATTACACTGTTCACTTCTACACTATCGCACAGCCCGATGCACTGTCCACAGTCCACTGCCCTGACCACCATTCACTGCGTAGACCACAATTCCCTGCGCAGACCACAATTCACAGCGCAGACCACAATTCATTGAGTATACCAGGGTACATTGCACTGCAGTTTACCGCGATGCAGACTTCACAGCGCAGCTTCCACTGCAGACTTCAGACTACTGTTCACTCACTGCACCACTGTTCGCCGCAATGCATACTTTACAGCACAGCTTCCACTTCAGACACACTGACTCCTTACTACTAGACTGACTAGCGGTGGCCGGCCCGCTCGAGCCATGGCGCGGAAGCGATGCGCACATTTCCTAGTCGCAAAACTCGCGAATAAAGAAAGCTTGGAACCGTCCGAAGTATCGGGGGGGGGCGGGGCGCCGGTGGATGACGCATTCCGCGCAGCGAATAGGTGTTGCAATATTCGTTATAATATATAAGGACTAGCTGAATGTGGCGTCGCCGACGCTTTAAACGTTCTTCAGTTGTTTGATTTTTTTGTTTTTTTCGGTTTAGAGTCCTCTTTGTCCCGTGTAGATGTTTTTGCCAGCGTTGCAAACTAACCATTGAATTTTGCAATACTTTTGTTATATTGTGCACGATTTATACCTTGGCTTTCCTGAACTTAGGTAATGTAATATTACAGCATCTTTAACTCAAGAACGGCTGGAACAATTTTAATTATCTCTGATTTTTTTGGATTCACCTCTACCCCGAATAGCAGAATAACAATTAAAATATTGAAAAGGAATTCTGGAATTCACTAGATGGCGCTGTAAAACAAAACTAAATATTCAAGTAAATTCAACCCGCTTCAAGTAAATTCAGCCCTTCAACAATCGATTGGATTTTTAGAATCTATATCTCCTAAACGAAGCGTCATAGGACATTAAAAACTAAAACTAAGAAATGTTTCTCACATCGTAATATGCAGGCTGAGATATTTTTAAACACACTATTACATTTTTGCTGGGGGAGGGGGATAAGATGAGAGAGAAAGGGAGATGAAGGGCAGAACAATGTCTGCCGGGTTCTGTTGTTTCATCAAATTGACTTCGTCAAGAGTTATCCCGAAATGTTTTTCTTTCAATTTGTCGGGGTAAAATCAATTTGAAAACCATACGAAGTTGTAAGAAAACGCGAATTTATCTGTTGTACCTCCAGATCACTTGACTTATCCTGACTCCTCATATACACAATACCGTCATCTCGATATTCTTTGAAGACAACGGTGATCCCCTCAGTCCAGACGAAATGACCGGCTCGAAGACACTGCTATGCTCTTCTCGGACACGCACACCCACGACTGTCTGATCCGGGCAACTCAATAGGCCCTCGACTTATTTTGTTCATTCTCAGTGAAAGGAAATTCTTCGTTTTTGTATGCTCGTATTCCTTGTCTTCTAAGACTTCCTCTACCTCTTTCTCTACTTCTTCCTCTACGTCTACGTCTTTCTCTGTGTTTTCTCCGTATTCACTTGAAATTTTTCGTACTTAAGTTCCAAAGCAATACTATTTGTAGATTTTGCAAAATTATTTAAAAAATATGGTAATAGGTCTACTGATAAAAATTAAAATGAAATATGCCGGATGATTCACTTGATCAAATTAACTTCACTTGTTCTCTTAAAGATGTCAACATCAGTGTTGCCAATTCCATAAATGAAAATGATGGTGAATTGAGATAAATATGTCTTTAGGTACTGGAGTTTAATCAACGACACCTACATAGACGTATTTAGGTGCTGTAGGTTTAATTCCCGACATACCAAGATCGCAGAGCCAAAAAGCGGAAAAAATACGCTTTCGGAAATTTCTTAGAATCTCATGACCGGATCTGAAAACAAATTATCAGCCCCCCATCAGGAAACCGAGACGCGTTGAATGACATCCTGTATGTCTGGACTGGTGCACGGGAAGTGGTATAACCGTGAGTGACGGAACCGCACATCCTAGCGGAGTTACTTAACACTATTCGGGATTGTGGGATGAATATTATGTATGTATATATTATCATACCAAGATTGAGTTTCAAGTTATGAATTTTTAAAATAATCTCATTGCTATGGCAATCACTGTACTATATATATAAGCAAATCAATGTAAGTCACATTTCAAAAAATGTAAAATATTGAAGAGCCGCTATGAGCCTTCGGTTGATATAATAAAAAAGCCCAAGGCGGGACTCGAATCCGCGGCCCTTCAGACCAAAGCGTTGAGTCAGTACACGCTATAAATCACCTTGGCCATCCAGGTCGGCCCAGGTTTTACTCTTCTATAATATTATTAAAGTCATGTTTTAGTTCTAGCATTAAGGAGCTAAACAATTGGAGGAAATCGGCTGATCGTTTTAGGCGCTAGCGTTGACCACTGACGGACAGACAGATGTTTTGCCGTCAATCGATTTTTAGTTATCACGGACCTACTAAACATGGATTTTCGCTACACCACGTTTAGAGAATTTTTTCCTAATTTAGCAAATGGATTTATTTACCCACTTTTTCGAAACCAGGGCTCAGGATTGAGAACTTTCCTGCGAAAATTCACCGTTTTCCTGCGCACAATTATATAACTTTTTCTTATTTCAAAGTACCTTCATAAGGGTCGACAAAATAAAAATCAACATTAATTAAATATTGAATAGCAATATAATCAAACAGAGAATGCAACAACTGACTGTACGGATACTTTTACGCATTTCAAACTCGCAATTTATTTATCTTTACTTATATGAATTTATTTCTAAATTATTTTTGTATGGCAGGATAATAAACGACCGTTCCTGTTGCCCCGTTGCAAGAAATCATTCATAAACGGTATTTTATGGAACACATTGCATTTTACGACATGGCCCGTCCTGTCCGCTCAACTTCTCCCTCGCCCTCCCATAGGTCCTTCCCTCGTTTTCAAACATGTACTTGTGCAATAAACCATAATATTATAAACTAGTTGCATAAAATATAATTTTTGTATTCGAGCATTACAAACAACCTTTTTCATTATAAGAAATCGTTCATGAAATGATATATCATAGCAGAGATTATATTTTGCCTTTTATTGCACGAATAATTGCGTCACCATCCATTCAGTCAATCGTAGCGACAGAATCATGAAGGAGTAGCAGTAAACCGAACAGCCGACCACCGTTTTTCGCACACATGTCAATACCCGTGACGTCACAATACAGTTATTACCAGAAATTAACTTAGATTCTCTTATAAATGTATAATGCTGCTATACAAAATAATTACGTATGTATTACGGTTACAATGTTGCGTTATAAACTAGTTGCATAATATATTTTATAAATTATGTTTCGAGTGTTCAAAGAATTGACTACCCCAGCCGGACACGGATCTTTCGGTATGAGCCCAGTGGCTAAACACACGAGCTATCGTGACCGTCAACTTTTCGTACGGACTTAAGTTTTGTAGAGTTTGTTTGAAGTCTCAGAACCGAACAATGGTGCTAACAGTGGTTCAAAAAAGTAGTCGCAATTTTCTTTTGAATTTTCTTTTCTTTTATTCAAGCACTTCTAAATATTTTTATTTAAAAAATTCAAATTTTGGATGTATAGGATAGATTTGCGCAAAAAACAAACAAACGAAGATTCAATTTAATTATAAATATAGACTGAATTTTTATTTTTTTCCGAGAGTAGCCGCGATACCCCCGTAACAATTTTTTAATTGGTTATAGTGTGATATTTCTGTAAAATGTATTCTGAAAACCTATGAAATTAATATAAAGTATATATTTCAGTTAAAGAATCAGAATTGCTTAGAAACATAATGTATTCATGTATATGTACCATTTGGGGTCAGATTAATTCGCTTTTTGCCTAGTTAGCACTGTTTCCACGCCTGTGAGTAAGGGAGAACTTTTCGCAAACCCATCACCGTATCTACCCTCTTTGGCATGCTTGCGCTTTTTTTGTCACATAATATTCAAACAAAAACGACTTGTATTAGAAAGCTACAGCTTTATTTTTGCCCCGACCGGGAATCGAACCCAGAGCCATATCACAGAAAGCTATCACGCTGTCCACGAGCCACCTAAAGGACTTTAGAAACATTATTTCACGAATAAACCATTCAAATATCTTGTATATTATAATTTTAGCATTTAAAGTACCCTCGCCGACACGTAAAATTAGCAACGGCCATATTAAGTCCCCAGTTTTCAGCTCATTCTAGCAGCACTGAAAGAAGGATAACGTCATCTGGTTCTTTCATAGCTATTATACAAAACAATATTCTCAACCCACTGTCAATGACTGAGGAGCTAATAGGCTACATTTCCCCTCGATTTCACACAATCATAATCTCTAGCATAGGTGTGTTCATGGGAGGGGGGCATTGCTCCTTAGTGCAAGCCATTCCATTGCCTACAAGAAATATATCAATAAAGACAATATCAAACTTTACGACATATGCAAGGGAATTAGTGGATTTGAAAACGTTTAATAACATTTTTTCATAATCCAGATTTACTTGCGAAAAATCAATTGAATACCATCCCCTCTTTTAATGCAAAACAACTTAAGTATATGAAGGTATATTACCAAACCGAGACGAAGAAATAAAGTGTGCAAAGTCAGCAGAAGACCTCTCGTCTCTGGTTTTGTAAAGGCTTTGCATAGATGTCCAAAATTTGCTTTTATGTAGGCAACGTGGTGCTTAATATTTAGAGACTACAAAACTTTCTTGGCTTTGTTAATGTCATATTTACCGTTTTTTCTACAAATGTAAAAAAAAAAAAATACAAAGAAAAAATTTAGCCGTTTCTGAGAAAATATTTGTTGCCTACGCTTCACGCAAACAAAAACAACAACATATTTTAAAAACATTTAACATGACCTTATTTGAAGACATTTGATTTCATTTCATTACGAAACAAATTATCTTCATAATTGTAGTTGTAGGAAGACGCCGAAAAAAAATTGAATGTTTGCAATTTTCGAAAAGTCACGAATTTCAACGAAAATGAGACCTGAGGACAAAATTGAATTAAAAAATTTCGTGACTTTTTGAAAAAAAAGTTTAATAACATTAAAAACTGCATACATCCCAAGCAAAATTATGCAAAAAATACTCAAACTTTCGAAAAAGTGTGCAAGACCATATTTGTAAATGTCTTCGAAGAACAGATTTCATGAATTAAAATCTCATTCTTTAATATTTTAGTAGTAGGAAGACGCAAAAAAATGAAACTTTTCCAATTTTCGTAAACTTAGGAATTTTAACGAAAATAATATCTGCACTATTCTCTTAAGCATTCTTAAAGCTGTCAGTTTTGAAAATTTCCCAGGGGCTCCACATAATGTACCCCCAAAATTAAACTATGGGCTTCAAATTAAAGGGGCCGCGACCAGTCAGATCGGTTCGAGAACATCAATTTTGGAGAAAACTGTCTAGCGTTGACCACAGACGCACAGACGTTTTGCAGTCAAAAGATTTTTCGGTATCAAGGACCCATAAAATATGGATTCTGGCAACATAACGTGTTAGAGGAAGTCATTTACTATACATACGAACAATTTATCCACTTTTTCGTCAGCAGATCTCAGCAATACGAGTTTCTCAGACGGAAATTACTCGTTTTCTCCCGCTGCATTACAATACTTGATACTGTGTAAGCAATACCGAGAAAGTAAAAACTACTTGGATTTTTGTCAGCATGAAACATGATAAGAATATAAAGCAATCATTGCCATGTCCAAAAATTATAATTAAGAATACTCACAGTTACAGATTCTTCCAGATGTACCTCAGATACGTCTGCAATGTGGCCAGTTGGATCGATCCATAACACGGTAACATTCGTTCCTGAATGTTCAGCATGAGCGGTGTTTGCATTAGAGCTGGCAGAATTCGAATTGGAATGGAACTGATAAATCAACACTGGTTCAGAAAAAGGACCCAAGGCGCGAATAAAATTGCGTGATATTTGCTCTTTCTGGTCATATTCTGAGCTAACATGCAGATACTGTAAACAAAACAGAATTTATATCAGTAACACATACATTTTCATAAACCATTCAAAAAAAGAGAAAACGGAAGAGTATTGACTTCAAACTAGTTATGAATGAATAAAGAATATTAAAAAGGGAAAGTTTGAAAACTAGAAATATTTGAATAACTTCTGACAGATATAAATAGTCAACATAGCTCAGGGATGAGCTTGGCAATCAAATCTCTATTTTCAAATTTAAGATTATATGCTTCAAACAAAGAGTAACAATGTTTTATTTTCTTTATGAAGTTCTTTCTTTTTGTAATCTCACTTTCCGTTCATCAGTTTGCATAGTGGAGAGAAAATCAACAATCTATGAATCATATTACATAATTCTCAGATATCCAATGAAGAAACTTTTTCATCAGTTAGTCTAATACTACTAATCTGCGCTATACCCAATACACCACTTTAATAGCTTATGATTGTGCTCGAACTGGAACGCAAAATTAGTCCATCTTATTTGGGAGTCAGTGTTTATATTTGTGTGCCGGCGATTCATGATATGCGCAGCTAATTCCAATGTTCCTGCCCAGCAATTTTGCAGAGTATTCAACAATAATGGATTCAGTGTCTTCAGGTTTGTTATTTTTAACACATAATAGTTCTGTTGCAATAATTCTATTTCATTTTTCTCGAACCCATTTTTTTTTTTTGACGGCCTTCTCCAAATCAATTCTGTAGTCTAGTCTGTAACTGATTTTCTGTACGTTCTCTTAGGGTTTCTCTATCGTGCTTATTTAGAACAAATCCTATTTTCCTTACGATAATCCTATGAGGTTCCCATGTTGAAACCTGTCAAAAACAGTTTGCCTATAACATTCCCATGTTGTGACCTGTCTAATTTGTCTGTACTTGGCGCGACAGCCCGCGTACGAGCCAGATCTTACCAGCAGTCCCGGGCTCGCGACCGTCGGTTACGGGGTACGGGTGAGTAGCACGAAGACATCCTTACGCAGTATTCTGGCCTTCGCAACCTGAGAAGTGAATTTTTCATCGTCACACAGTAACATATACTGAGACATTGCAAGGAGAACGCACACTATAGTCTTGCCCGAATCGAACCCGTGTTTGCGTCTGGAGAGCGAGCATGCTGACCAATGAGCTAAACCGCGAGGGCGACCTATCTAATACTGATCGAATTTTCTACCTACCTTCTGTATAATTTTTCCTTCCTTAGATTCTCTACTTAGATTTCCCAGGAGGCAACACAATGTCCTTTCCTAATTGTGTTCTAAAACTGATTTCTCCTATGACAACCCTAGCGAGTTTCCCTATTCTGTCCCGTACTATTACTGGTAGACATTTCCTGTACCAACACAAAGGGATTTACCTATCCAGCTGCCCAGAATGGGCGAGATTTTCCTTATTTTAAACCTGTGGGGTTTTCCGAATGTGACCTAGACTTCATCGAATTTTCCCTATTTCAACAGTAGGGCATTCCTATCGTGACATATCTTGAACGTATCAGATTTTTCGCATGCCAACCCTATGGGGTTTTCCTATCTTGACCTCGGGTATACTTTTCGGGTACTAACGGGTATAATTTTTCCTATTTTAAACCTCTGACGTTTGTCGACCGTGGCCTAGAATTGAACGAATTTTCCTATGACAATCTGAGGGCCTTCCCAATCGTGACATCTTGATCCAATCAGATGTTTCTATTGGAAACTATGGGGTTTCCCTTTAGCAACCTGTCTATAACAGATCAGATTTTCCTTGAGATTTTCATATTCCACCTGTCTAGAACTGACCGAATTTCCTGTGGGGATGTCATGTCGTGACCTGCCTAGAATGTATCTACTTTCCCTCGGGCGACCCAATTATATACCCCGATCGTGACTTGCCCAGAACATTGATGGGATGAAGTATATAGTACATTCCCTGTTCGAGAGTTCCATACATTTTTAAATTCCTCCTTCAAAGTAGGTTGTCCGATTAATTCGTCGTTCCGAACGCATAAACTACTTTGGTTATTAGTCCCATTGAAGTAGTGCATGTTTTATTACTGGGGATGGTGGCATTCAGCGCCGACCAGCACGTCGGCTTGAGGGGTTTTCCCCACCATCAAGACACTGCCACAGACGACAAGCTAAGCTCCCAACTGGTCGCCCAACACGTTTGGTAGATACCACACGTGTTGGGAGTAAGTGTGCATGTAAGAGTAAGTGTGTGTAAGGGGGCGAGGATAGAACAAGGAAGAAGAAAAAAAACTTTATTTTTCTGTCGACTCCAACGCCATGCGAAAGAGACGCAATTGCCCAATCGCAAAATCGTGGCCTTTCGCTTCATTGCGCGCAGCTGCTCGGAAATCATGAATGCAGGCATCTGAAAACTGGTTTTCTTCCCAGATTTGTCGTTCTATTACTCATCTACTGGTTTAGAGAAAAATATCTAACGAGAAACATTACAGGCACCGATAGACTTAAAACACAGTATTGCATGAAAACAGTCATTACTATTAAATTACCTGTAATCGTTTAAACATTCCTGCAGCTTTTGAAATTGACATGTAATGCTGTGGCTGTACCCATGTTTCTACTCGTAGCTTCACTTCTTCTATTATTCCTTCAAACATCACCAGAGTTCCCTAGAACAAAATATTAATAGCAGAGAATCATATCATTGAACTGTACGACTCGACTTCTCATAAACGTAATTTATAATAAAACAGTTAATAGAAAAAAATAATGAAGTGGGACAACAAATTTATTTTATATTTGTGGACTTAGAAATCGTATATGATAGTATTCCATTACAATTTTGGGATGTATTGAGAGAAATTAACATAAATGAAACTATTTTAAGAGCAATAAAATAAAACTATGTTATGGCGCTATTTTGCGGGTACAAATATGCAGAAATCTCTTGGAATCAATTTTCATCACCAAAAGCACGCGTGAAGGGTGTGAAATATACTTACAAACATTTCAAGGAACATGGAAAAAGAAAGTTGAGAGAACGAGTTTTAGGAAATAAACTTTATTTTTTTACTTTAAGAAGTAAAATGATATACACTTTATTTTTTGCAGATGACCATGCAATAATAGAACAACATGCTGAAGATGTGGAATACATGTTTAGGAAATTATTGGAAATATACAAGAAATGGAGACTGAAAATTAATATGGAAAAGACATTTTATGTGGGGTGTGAGTAAATAATACAGATTTAATTTTACAGCATGGAAAAGGAAAAATTAAATGTTTTTCAGAATTTAAATATTTGGGAGTAAAAATACATAAGGATGGAAATCAAGAAGTTGATATAAGACATGAAATAAATAAAGGAAAATCAGCAACATCAATGCAAAATAAAATATTATGAGATAAACATGTAACAAAAGAAACGAAACAAAGAATATATAAATCTATTGTAGAAAGCACTGTTTTATGTGGATCATATACATGGAAATTAAAGAAAAAATTAAAACTAAAATTACTGGCAACAGAAATAGATATTTTAAGGTAATCTAGGATATAAAAACTAGAAAAAAAAATTAAAAATAAGAGAAAAATTGAACAGAGAACACACAATTTTAGAAACTATTCAATATAAGCAATTACAACGGTTTCGTCATGTAAAAAGAATGACAGAAAATAGAATTCCAAAAATCATTTTGGAGTAGTTACCCACAGGGTTTGGACAAAATGTTTAGATGTTTAGCCTTAATTCATGCTATCGTTTAATGTTTTCTCCATCTACTTAAAAATATCTTTCGAACCTACTCTGATCTTTTCGTGACGGAAATTTGTGCTTGCGATGTCAATCACTGCGCTAGTCAGTTCTTATCTCGGTTTGGGTGAGAAGCATTTAACGTATGTAATACATAATCGGTCACAATATATGCAAAACTTGTATAATAATATTGCAAATTGTATCCAATAAACTCTTCTGGTACATAATGAAAACTATTCATTAAAAGAAGCGCGGGATATTCAAATGAAAAAATTTCATACAAGCAATTTTAAAAAATTCACCGGTTAATAATAATCAGACTTTTGTTGAATTTGTAAGTACTTTCATAACGTAAGCGTTCTCTCGAGGAAAGCATCTTAAGAACATGTTATTTTGTAATTCCGGCAATCCGACTACGCTTTTGTTCGCATTGACATTTCAGGTAAAAATTACTAAAATAATGAAAACTACTCATACTTTGTAAAACTCTGTACATAAAATGATTTAAAGATCTAAAATTTACAAAAATATTGTCCTAAAAAAGAAATCTCTAGCAAAAGACAAGTCCGACAGCCACTTAAACGAGTTCACTATTAAACTCAAAATTATGTGAAAACGGATAATATGCTGAAAGTAATGTATCTAGAATGATTCAAAGATATAATATCCAGGAATATATAAGAAATTATATAAGAAAACTCTAGCTTCAATATAAAAGGTTCAAAAGCAGTTTCAAAAATATCCATTTACTATTTTCAAAATTCCAAAATCCTCAGTGAATATAGAACATTTCATATTATTAAGCAACCTCTGGTTTACTTGAACAAAAAACAAAGAAAACATTCGGAGCTGTATTTGAGAAAATCTTGTTTTCAAAATTGCATGGCATAATTTAAAGATAAAATTTTAAGAAACACACTGTAATAAAGGACTAATTTCTAGCTTTAAAAATGAAGTTGATGAAGGGGTCTAAACCGTTTAATCTATTGTAATTTTCAAAAATCCAGAGGTAACAAAGCAGAGGTTACAACTGGCAGCATATTTATTCCATAATTCAATTGCTCGTTCTGGTTGATCGCGAGTTGGGTACTGGTCATTTATCTTCAACTAGTTCAGACTCGGCGGTCGCGTCCGAGTCGCCCAAACGCACTGCCCGCCGGCCTGCGCACCCCAGAGAAGCGGTGACACAACTCTCAGTGTTATGCCATGCGTTCGGCAAGAGCTGATGTGTTCTCATAACTGCTCATGCATGCAATTACGCATCTCCTAATTATCCTCATGGCTCCACGTGCACGTTATATGCACTATACATAAGCTCATGGACATATCACCTTCCAGTTACAATGTGGAAGTGATTAATCTCAGCATTTTTACATATTGTGAGTGCTTCCCGTAAACGCGCTTCAAGTAAACTGATGACGCCACGTGCAAGGAAGTTTCGCATTCCAGATAACAAATTTCTGATGCATGAACCAGTGAACTACACGTTTCAGATATGTTGTTTCACGACAGATCATTCTCCATTAATAGACGAGTTCATGTACTTTAAATGTAACATAAACTAAATGCGAATTGCAATTCATCAGGTGTGTTAAATGTGCTCAGTAAACCACGTATTCAAATCCATTCTACGTACTGCAATTCATTGTGTTGAATACATGCCAACAAACTGAATGTCCCCCCTGTCGTGAACAGTTTAAGTCGTGTAAGACGTAATCTAATACACGTGCTACCAACACGTCTATTGTGCCACAATGCCTGTTTCCGCGGCATTCAATGCAACAGCTGCATTACTAGTAGTCACGGCAAACCCAAGCTGCTGGCTGCTGCAGCGTCCTCATCGGGCAGATCACGACACGTGCCCCGTGCGTGCCTCGTCTTCGAGTCTTCACGACACGAGCTCCGCGTGTGCGTACTCTACCAGTATACGTTGCAACAGCACGTGATTCTGTTCATATTTCATTGTTTCTATTCCAGCACTACTCAAGTCACGTTGCACACCCGAACTCATATTATTTACTATGTGTAATCAACACAGTTTTCAACTAATTGCCTATTCACTGCAATGTTTCCTTGTTAACCACAATTAACCCAGTCTTCAACTGTGATTACCTACGGCTATTAGAATGCCTCAATGCTATCTGCGTCCAATAGTTTCCACTGTATATGCCTACAGCTATAAAATTCACTCACGTTTTCTAACATTGGTGTAATTATTACTGTAATTGTATAATTTCCTTAATCATAATTATATGCCTTTTCTCTCCATAATCACTACATGCCTAATGAATTCTTCGAAGATAAGTGACTCCCTCTGCAGATATAGACATTTACAGAGAAAGCGTCCGTGTCGCATTAAACACGGATCTCCGAAGAAGCTACTACAGGGAAAGTGGAAATAGCTGGCTGCTGCTCATCAGTCCACGTGCCTCCTCAGTTAGCCTCCAACAGCCGGATATTGGAATTTGTAAGAGAACGCAGTTTTCAACGAGCAAAACATTTAGGAAAAAAATACGAGCCTTTTTGAAAGAAAGAAAAAAAATTGAAAATGTCGTTGCGGTTATCCCTCACAATCAAAATATACGTTTCAAATTCAAGGGGTCTCAATATCACACAGAGAAATATCAATTTTGGTGAAACTCCTGGGCACGATTTTGGTGCTAGTGTTGTTCACAGACGGACGGACATTTTGCTGCAAATCAATTTTTTGGTATAACGGGCCCACAAAATGAGGATTTTACCTACATAGTGTATTAGAGTATGTCATTTATTACATAGAGGAGCAGGAAATACCATTTTTCGGTGTCACGGATCCACAATACGAGTTTTTCGACGAAATATCGTCACATTCCTCTGCAGCATTACATTACGTTCCCTTTACTACGCAAGTCGTAAAGAGAAAGCGAAAAGAAAAAAATATGGGTAAGTGGCTGACCCGCCGCCCTAGGGTCGAAAGTCCTGTAAACCACCTTCATACATTATTGAAATGTAAAAAGATACATTAATACATACCATGTAAGAATCTCGAAGATGATACGATGTAACTTCCAAAACTTTACTGGGTTCAAATGAACAGTTGTTAGTGCTGGCGCTGTTAGCAGCAAGACGTGCAAAACTCATCGACAGAGTCAAAAGAGCATCATCAGGAGCAGGGCTCAAATCTGCATGATGAAGAATGTTTTGCCAATAGCTCTGGAGACTTGGTAAACCTATTGGACATAAAAAGAACTTAGAAAGACAATATTACGCCATTCTTCATGTAGAAATAATAAAGGAGGAATTGAACTACCCATTATGTAATTTCTCGTTCGATTTCCGCCGATTTGTGTTCTGTGTCACGATTACCTCACGTCGCTGAGGACCAGACATATTGTTCCCATTCATACACGGCGGAGACTCGTGAATTTTCGAGAAGAGAACTCATTCCTGACTACTGCAAATTACCTGAATCCGCCGGCGACTTGACCAAGAAGCTCTGGTCAGCTGTTCGGCGTATTAAAGTGCTGTCCCTTCCGTGGAGGGACATACCCCTTTGGGACCGACCCCTCCCGTTGGCCATGACTAGCAAAAGGCGCCTTGACTTGCGGTCACCAAATACTATACTGCGTACTCCGCGCTTTCCACAGTGGCAGGCGCTCTTCCCTGTGACTCCTCGTAGCTGCGAGGGCGGCTGGGGCATTTGGTAAATAGACCTAATGTCACTATACGAGACAGAGATGTTTGTTCCATTTACCAAACGCCCCAGCCGCCCATGCAAATGCGGCATCGTACAGATGCGACACGGGGAAGAGAGCTCACACTGTGGTCGCACATAAATGCACCGGACAAATTACGCGAAAGTCCTTCTTGGTTAAATGCCGGCGGAATGAGTCGTAACCTACGCCCTTATAGTGTTCGGGAACGATGTCGCCATTTTGTTAATAGATAATAGTGGAATTTGCGTAGTGAAGAGAAAGATAATTCGCGTGTAATCAGTTATCGCGATTTGTACGTGAAATAGTGGAGAAAGTACCTTATATAAAACTGTGGCGAAAGTTGAACTGGATTTAAAAGCAAAGTAGTTGAAGCAATTCTAGAATAAATTTTCCGCAATTTGAAAGCAGGGAGAACAGAGCGACCTGATTAAAATTTGTGATTCAGTGTTCCGAAAGCGACGCCAGGAATTAAACTCTGTAAGTTATTTTACGCGTGCACGGACTGGGAGCAGGTTGGCGTTCGTTGTGCAGAGGACGGGGCAGAGGATAGAAGACGCTACGTTCGAGAGTTTCCTGGCGCTAGAAGATGAAGCCGGAGAGAAGCGATCGGATGCTGGAATTGTGAACTGGAGTTGGTGTTCGCGGAGTGCACGAGGCGCAGAGGCGGCGCGCAACCCCGTGCGCGGAGCGAGGGCAACGCCGCAAGCGAGCGCCGCTGTTCGGTGAGGCCAAGGGCGAGCGCGAGCAGAAAAGGTAAAAGAACTGCATTACCACAGGAAATCTTCATGTGCGTTGCAAACGCTAGGCGCGTGACCGCTTCGAATTGCTTTGAGCAATGGTCGCTCCACTGAAATTTGCATTAACTAAATTAGGAAGCAACGAGGTATTCAGAGTGAAAACAGCGTACATTACCTTGTAAATTTTGCAGTACATTACTTTTGGACTTGAGTTGGAAACCAATTTGGAAAATGTAATTACGTTTGTAAATAATTATTTATTTAATTGCGTCTTGCTAAGCTATTTATTTGTGTGGGAAATTAAATCAGGTCACGTAATATTTGAATTTGAGTGTATAATTTGAGTTTAAAGTGTTACGATTTCATATGCGATAAGAACTAACGTTTGCATAATTTCGTTAATCAAGGTTCCAACCGTGCATGATACAACATTATTACAGATTTAAATTCAAGTGAAATAAGTAATTTTTAAAGAAATTTCTGAATGTTTATAACAGCATCGCTGAATTTTTGAGTTAGAATTGGATTTTTTGAGTTAGAATTGGTCGCAAATCGAACAAATCAGACTATCATTTTTGTTTTGTGCCATATTTCTTTGATTTCTGTGTATTGTATTCAATTAGTGGCAGAATATATGCAAAGTTTATTTGATTTTCGTCTCTTGGTATATTTTCTTACACGCAAGAGATCCTGCCACCCTGAGGTAAAATTAATCGCAGGAGCATCCATCTGCGTCATCCCTTAGGTGCCTATTGGTGCTTAATTAACCCATCAAGGACCAAGCATTGAAACAATATTTTAACAGTATTATGTACTTACTATAAAGTTACACTAGAAAGAATAATATAATTTTTTCAATGTTCAATGTACAACAAAATAATGCGAATACGCAACTTTAGGACCTTAGGGTATATCAATTCATGTTGACATTAGACCACTGAAAATCGTAAGAAGATTAACATTGCATTTTTTAATTTGTAAACTGCAGTGCACCTCCTTCTGGCTTTGGTTTCTCGCTTTATAATCACGTGTTCTATATTATGGTTGATTTACTGATGATTCCTGGTGCGTCAACTGCTAGTCTCGTAAATGTATTATGTAAATGTAGTTCACTAGTCTCGTAAATGTATTATGTAATTATACGCCCATATTTTTTAGCGCGGGAGGTGGCGGTTATTTTACCCTGTTGGATGGCGAGATCCGATGGGTTTTTCCCCAAAACGGTCTGTCCTACTTGTGGGACACCGCCTCAGCCGGAACCAGCCCGGCCTATCATCATGTGCGTTAGTGTAAGTTTAAGTGGTGCAAGTAACGGATAAGGATAGGGCAAAGAAGAAAGAATGATCACGTCACACGCACATCCATGTATCTCGGTACACTGATAGTTCCTCCTGTGAACGTTCCTCCGGTGTACCTTCTACTGCCACAGTTGGACGCGGAGTCTTCGAATAGACGCTTCGTGCAGCGCATGTACTGCAGAAACACATGCGCTCTTGGAGGCACTTAAGTTCGCTGAATCGATGACATTCATTTTTATTTTTATTTTTTATTTAACCAACTTCCCCCTTGGCCATCTGACGCGCCGACCAGTATAGACGCTTTTCCCTTAGCTTGTAGTGATCCTCACGCCCACAATGGTCAAGCGCGTCGATGGCGAATTACTATTGATCATTTAGCGTTACCCAGGGGACACGTGTGGTAGACCACAGACGCGAGCAACTTTGCCTCCGCTGTGAATAATAATAATAATAATAATAATAATAATAATAATAATTATTATTATTATTATAGGTGATAGGATATTGGTGAAAGGTGATCGTGGTCTTTTGGAACCATCCCAGCATTCACCTTATGACCGAGGAAAACCACGAAAACCCCGGTCAGAATGGCTGGCCTGGGAATCGAACCCGGACCTCCCGATTGCGAAGTCAGTGCGCTACGCACTGAACCACTTCACTCGATATCTGCGAATTCTCAGCTGATTCAAAAAGCTCGAATCTATCTCCTGCTTCGCTTCTTGTTACCCTCTGACAATGATTATCCAACACCAAATCCATAATTTGTAGGTGCGTCGTTATAATTTGTTTATTATGTTGGATCTCTGGTCTCGTTGGGATAATAAGGAACGAAATTTCTGACCAGGCAACAAAGCTCGCCATAATGAAAACGGAGGTAGACATTCTCCCAGTCGTAACAAACGATACCAAGCTCTTTATCAGATGTTGCATTCTCAGTGCATGGCAAACAGAGTGGCAGAACTCAGATTTTAAACTCAGGAGAATCAAGGATTCCGTAAAGCCTCTTCGTCTCGTCGGTCTAGGCGCGAGGAGATAATTCTGACACTCCTTCGCATCGGTCACTGCGATTTCTCCCACTTCCATCTTCTCCGCGGTGACCCACTCCCTACTTGCGATAGTTGCGAGACGGATCTTACCGTGGAGCATGTTCTCCTGCACTGTTCTAAGCTAAGGCCACCGAAGGCTTCATGTTGCTAGCTCTCTAGCGCAGGTACTCGGAAATGAATCTTCTTTCTGCGTTCTTTTTAGCTTCTTATGAGAATCTGACATTTACAGCATTATCTGAGAAAAGAGGATTATTCAAATTATTTGGCTTTTAATTGGCGAATTTCAAATGTTTATCTGGCTTTTTTCTGCCAACCCCGTTTTTAAAATAATTGAACCCGTTTATTTTCAGTTTTACTTACATTTCACTTTGCATTATTTTAAAAAATGTGGCACTGCCACTGTGCGTGTAGCTCTTAAACTAATTTTACACGGGCGGCACTGACCTGAGCTGTTGAAGAGCCCTGAAACCTTAATCATCATCATCATCGTCGTCGTCAGTTACGGAGCAAATAAAATTTCCCAAAACAATATCAAGCTTTGATATATTAAGGATTGAACTCTCCTATTTGTAGGGAAATTATCTTTTACACAAGATAAGTCTCCTGGTATATTAAAATCTCCCATCAAAAGCAAATTATCACCTCAAATTTCACTTAAGGATATTATCTCATCGGACACTTTTCGTATATTTCAATATTGAATATATAATAAAATAATATAAAATTTAATTTTACAAACAAAAATGTAATACAGGCAATATCTATACCTGGAGCAGCATCTATGATTCTATACAAATCCATGACGCTATGAAGAAATTTTTTGACAGCTATAAGAACAGCTTCGCTTCATTCGACGATCACAGCGCACAACATTGATATTACTTGTATCTATTAATTCTGAAGACATAATTTCAGGCTTCAACCATGTCTCGGTAAAAATTATACAATCCAAGTACCTAATGTCACTGATAAAGAGGGAGTTAAGCTTATTGTCAACACTGCACTCATTCTGATATTAACAGTGTAAAGTAGTTCGATTATTTACTGTGATGTCACTGGAGCATGTCTCTTCATTATCTTGGGAATACCGTTGACAAATTGAGCTTGCCATTTCGATTGCTCCAGAGGTGGCATCTCCAAGAGTTTGTTCCTCAATTGTTTGTAATTCTTTAGCTGTAGAGGGGTGCGATCGTGAGTAGCACTGCAGTTGACTAGATTCGGGACCTCTACGACGTTGCCAAAACGTCCTTAGGAATGTCGTCACATCGCCCTGACAAGCAAAGACAAGTTTCAAGGGCCTTGGTTTTGGAGAGTTGTACATTTCCCAATCCGATTATGGATTTTTAATGAGACATTTTCAAAAGAGGTTTTTAAATAAAATATCAATTGTTTTCTTGTCCTGCTCACTAGATTCAGTTGGAGATTTATGATTA